AGAATAAAATGATGAGAAATTTTGACCATTTTATGCACTTATCTAAAATAGGGCCAGGAATGATTTAACTTGTTGTTTTTCTTCCTTTTAAGCGAGGGCTGTCCAAATCTTGAATATCTCAACATATCGTGGTCTAGTCAGGTGACAAATGATGGGGTGGATGCTCTGGCCAAAGGGTGCCCGAAAATAAAATCTTTCCATTCCAACGGGTGTCATCAGGTAATTTAAAAAAAACATTATGTATTTGGAAAGAAATGAATTTTTTATTGTTGTTTTCTAATGTTTTGTTTTCTCATTGAAAAAAAGGCAAAAAGATACTTAACTAGAAACCTTTTCTATCAGAATTTCTAGGATGAGGAATTATCATTATTTACATTTGGACTGTTGTTCTCATCTTTGTTGTTATCACAACATTCCACCTGTTGCACCTTCCTGTCTTCTTCAGGTGTATATTGATTTGGGTAATCTACAGGGAATTCCAAACTGAGCCTTTATTTATTTTCTACGGGATAATAGCCTAGTGGATTAAGGCATTGGTTCATGAATTTTGGTGACATAGTAATTGTGAGTTCAATTCCTGGGTTGGGCAGTGTTTCCTTGGACTCAGTGGAAACAGGGTGAACGATAACTGAGCAGTACTAAAAATAAGAACTAGACAAGATATGGGCAGTGGAATGAGAACAGTCTACACTCATAAAGGTTTCAGTTCAGAATTCCTTGTAGGTTAACCTGGATCAATATATACCTTTTTAACCATAAAAATTGGTTGCCGTTAACATTTTTTTATTTTATACACAAGAAAAATTTAATTAGTATTAATAAAATTATACTTAATTATTTGGGTGTGAGTGTATTGACTGCTAAACATTTTCTCTTGTCAGTATTGGTTAAAAACCTATGACAAGATACATGTGAAGAAGATGGAAATTGAAGAATTTTTATTGTCAGTATTGAAGAGAAATTTTTTTTTTTTTTGAATGTGACTTTTCCCTTTCATATTTTGCATTTAAGAATGTTGGCCTCATCTTTCGTAAATTTGTATAAGGCTAAATTGTGTCCCTCCCCATTTTTTATATTAGAACAAAGCAGCCTTCATAACACATAATTATATACCAGCTTGATATATATATATATATATATATATATATATATATATATATATATATAGAGAGAGAGAGAGAGTATATCTAAAAAGAGAATATGAATAAAGAAAAAAGGAAACCTTTTCTTAGCCAATTGTCCTCTGTTGGATTTTATCAAGCATTTGCCTTGATAAAGCCCCACAGGGCAAAACATGTCGGCTAAGTTTTCCTTTTGTCTTTTTGTATATATTGGGTTTACAGCATGTAAAATTTGAGTTTTCGCAACATTTAATAAAGCTTATTTAATACGTTGATAGCATATTGTATGGCATATCAAGTTTGCAGTGAAAAGAAAACTGGTTTCAAAACCATACTCTGATGGCTCTACATTGAGGCACATATTTTGTATCACAGGATGATTCATTTATCCCTGCACACAAAGAATTTGAAACAAGTGGCTGCATTTAAAAAGGTCTTGTTTTAAGAAGGAAAGGAATATCCAGAACTCTATTAATGTGAATACACATTTGTCAGTAGATATTCAGAAAAAAAAATTCCCAAATTCTAAATTTATAATTTTGTACACATTTGTCAAGCTGTTATTCTAGAATCTTGCCCTTTCTTCTGCTTTTGATGGGAAACTGTAATACTTTATTTCTCTTTAGATCACCAATGAAGGCATTGGTCCATTGGCAATGAACTGCAGCAACCTGTTAACTTTGAATCTTAACAGCTGCTCAGTAAGTTATTTTCACTATTTTTTAATGCATGTATTATCATTTTAATATTTTTTTTTGTAGTAAATGATTCAAACATTATCTTTCTAAATTCTTACATAATTTCTTTTGAACACTGTTAATATTTATTTTTTCCTTTTTGTATGTTGTTCTTTGACCCTTTATCATTGTCCTTTTGCAACCCAATCTTATAAACTTAAGTGGATTACTTACTGTTTTTCCCAGATTCTCTTGTGTTCATTGTTTTTTTAATCATTTCATCCCAAGTAAGGTGATAATGCCACTAAGACACTGTAGAGTGATTGGCTATTGTTAAATGTAAATAACTGCCCAACAAACAGAAATGCCAGTTTACAATAACAAGAAAAAGAAAAGAACAGGGTAAAAAAAAAAATAATAATATACAGCAAACAAACAATATACGCAAGGCAAATTAACAGTAATATGGCAAAAAGTTCACAAACTAAAATTTGGGGTTTGGCACACAAGAGGAAATTCAGATATGCGAATACAATGTTCTGACTTCAAAACAGACCAGGACTGAGTCAGATGAAACCGAGAACCGGGCAATTTTATTGGCTAGAAAGAAATCCCAGCATGCATTTGTGTATTTCTGCCTATAAATTGGGGAAGGGGAAAGTGTTTTGCAGTTATTTCCCACAAAAATTGGAATCAACAGATGCAAAGGTTTATTGGGAGTGAAAGCAAATGAGACTTTAGTGAAGAGAAAGTACCATAAAAGAACAGGTTTCAGAAAGACGGAAGATTGCGAATTCCTGCAGTCAAGGTACCAAGGAGGAAAGCTCCTTAAAACAGTTGTCATGAAAATATTTATAAAAAAGACAGAAGCCATGGCACATCAGTGGGAAAGTGGCTGAAGTTGAGATGCCAAGTCAGGATTGATTACATTACAGACCCCCCCCCCTTTTGGGTGGGTGGGGGGTGTCAAAATATTGATATATAGCAGAAGTGGCAGCAATATTCATTGCACGGACAAATGGTTTAATAGAGAATTTAAAAAAATAAGTTCATTTTGTATAATTTAAGATATTTGTAGAGGGGTGTTTTGGTGGTTTTTTAAGGCTTGTATGAAATAACAATCTACTTAGAATCATTTATTTATACAGGTATACCTATAATTAGTGCATGTGTACTCAAATTTGTCTTTTTTAAAGATTGTAGAATGGAAGTTTCTTGATTAAACATTTTATCTGCAATTTTGAGGCACTAGATCAGATCATAGTATCAACTTTATTCTCTAGCATCCTTCTTCAGTGGCATCTGGCAGGAAAAAGAGAGCAATTTTTCTCAAAAAATGGCATGAATCTGGAACTTTCATAGGCTCTCTCATAAGGGTCGGGATTGTTTCATCTTAACCAATCAACATCTTTCTTCTATGTCTGTGTGGGCTGATGGTGAAGTCATAAAATGTTGTTCTTACTCCTATATTTTTAGCACTTGTTTTATTTTTTCCCTTCGGATGTGTGGGTGGTGTAATGGATAACAGCTCAGTATGGGGAATTGGAGAGCAGTGTTCATATTTCAGTAAAGTGCGTTATTTTCACTTGTGTATAAATAAGTTTGGGGAAAAGTATAAATCCATCTCTTCTCCCCTAAGCTATGGATTAAATAAAAGCTTGTATTTGGAAAAATCATTATCACCAAAATAATATCACGGATATAGTTGTGCCAATAATGGGTGTTAAGGCCTCCTCATATCACGGATATAGTTGTGCCAATAATGGGTATTAAGGCCTCCTCATATCACGGATATAGTTGTGCCAATAATGGGTGTTAAGGCCTCCTCATATCACGGATATAGTTGTGCCAATAATGGGTGTTAAGGCCTCCTCATATCACGGATATAGTTGTGCCAATAATGGGTGTTAAGGCCTCCTCATATCACGGATATAGTTGTGCCAATAATGGGTGTTAAGGCCTCCTCATATCACGGATATAGTTGTGCCAATAATGGGTATTAAGGCCTCCTCATATCACGGATATAGTTGTGCCAATAATGGGTATTAAGGCCTCCTCATATCACAGATATAGTGACTCATAGGGTTTTCCTAACATAAGGACTGTGAGCTGGAGGTAGATTCCATATTTTGTGAAGATATATTCCCAAAGGAAAATGGGGCTATGGGCTTGGGCAATGACCCTTTGGCAGCTTGCCCGGGTGAGGCAGATTTAGCCTTGGCCTGTACTAAAAAAAGCAAATACTCTGTTTGACTCCTGGACGCAGACTGATGGACTGACCACTTTTATCACTCTAAGAAGTGATGTCACCAAGTGGCCTTCATATAAAACAAGTGACTTCATCAAAACCAAAGGGCAATAATCAGCTTTTGTGTCTCTACACTCTCTTTATTCATGCACATATTTATATTTTTTTTTGTGTCTCTACACTCTCTTTATTCATGCACATATTTATATTTTTATTTCTTTACTTATTAACTTATAAACTTTGATTGTCTTAACTTTTCCTTTATTCTGAATTCCTTTAAACTACATAAGTAATTTTAACTTTTTTTTTTTTTTTTTTGAGATCCTAGACTAAGAATTGTCCTAAGAAATCTGCCAACAATTCTGTGTGATTTGTTTCTCAATGCTATTAACAATGTTGTTGTGAAATTTTTTCTAAAACAAAGATTTTTTCCATTCCAGCACATCACAGATGAAGGTATTCAGCAAATCAGCCGTAACTGTCACCAGTTACAGGTTCTCTGTGTGTCCAATTGTTGCCTCCTTACAGATGCAGCATTGTTTTCACTTGCTAAGGGCTGCCTTGACATGCGGTAGGTTCATTTTCTTCAACTTTCTATTTTCATATATTTTTTTTCTGCTTTCCATCAGGACTGAAATCCAAATTGAGGTGTATTTCTCTTTTCTGCATAAAATTATTAAACATTGTTAGGATTGTTTTTACTTTGTTGCTTTCTCATTAAACTTTTACAATAAGATTAAAAACATTTTCTATGAATGTTATTTTAAAGATTTTTCATAATTCTTGTGGTTTTAAGTTAAAATTAATTTTGTTACAAAGTTAAAATAATTTATGAAAATATGAAGTTAATTCCATATAAGTTTAAAAATCATAAATTGTCAACATTGAATTTCACTTTTCACATCTTTCATTGGGGATTTGTAGATAAAACTTTAGTGAAGATGTGAAGATATTATATTTTAGAAAATTCCAAATAATCTTACATCAAAGAGTTTTATAAATGCTGGTTGTGAGAGTTCTGTGTGTTTACTGCCCATTGTTCCACAAGTGCAGCAGATTTTAAGATGTATCTTTTGATACCAGATGGGCATTAACTGTATCTTTTGATACTAGATGGGCATAAAATGATTTTTTTCTTTTTAAATGTTTGCTGTGAGAATATTTGTTGACTTATCTGTATGGTTTCTTAATATCCTATAACCTTTTCTAGTTGAAATTGTTTAATATAATTTCTTTCATGTTAACCTCTTTTGTTTATTATTCTCTTCTCTTCTGCAGGACCTTAGAGGTAGCAAGTTGTTCTCAGTTTACAGATAATGGATTCCAAGCCTTGGCACGGGTAAGAACTGATTTTTTTTTTTTTTTTTTTTTTTAAATAAACTTTAATATTCTCTGCTAAAATGTATAATACATTAATTTAAAAATTCTGTTTGAGAACATTTCAGTCTTTAACGGCCTTAAAATTTAAAGATATGAAGCAAGTAAAATTTTTTTTTTTTGATAATTGGATTTTATTCAGATTATAGCTTATATTTTGTTTTGTGTTATACTAAATACTTATTAAAAAGATGACAAAAATATTGGATTTTGAATGCATTCTTTGCATTACTTAATCATCTGAAATTGTATCACAAAGTAAACACCATTTTAATTGAACTTTGACCCTTAACTACAAAATGTAGTTCTTTGGCATTGGTGTGCAATTTTTTTTAAATTAAAGGTTTTCTCTTCCCCAATTTACTTCAGCTGTCATTAATTTTTTTTCTCCAGAGTTGTCATATGTTGGAACGAATGGATTTGGAAGAATGTGTTTTGGTAAGATTTTTTTTCTTTTAGTTATCAGCTGTGCAAAGCTACAATATTTGATACACTATTGTTTTCATTTGATTAAACATATAACATTTTTCTTTTATGGTTTCATGCATTAGTTTCTGAATCTGATATCTGCTTGATTCTGCAAATGAAAAATTTCTTTGATGGCAAAGAATTTAGAAATAAAGGAATCTGAGTTTTAATAGAATGAAAATCGAGCTATTGACATTTATTTTAACCCCTATCTTTCTAGTGTCAGTTAAAACTGACACGTTTTTTCTATATATTGTGACCATTTTGTGTAAAGTTTGCATTTTCTTGATTTCAATTGAAGACTTGGAAATTTTCAAATATATTTCATTGAAATTTTCACTTTTTGAATTTATATTTTAAAGTTTAGATGCCTAGAAAAAAAGCTGTTAATTCAAACTGATGCTGGCTGGATATGAGTTAATGTCTTGAGTGGCATGGTCCCCAGGCTTTGTAAAGGGTGAACCTTGCTATAGAAAAAAAATATTATAGATTAACCCAAGTACAAAAACTCATATGGCTCTGAAGCATAAAAGCTAGAAACAAGTTGAGATGCCATGTTTGATACAAAAATACATTTCTTGGATCTCCGACAAATATACAAGAGAGAATGTATCAAATAAAGTCAAGCATTGTTAAACTGAAACAAATGTAAACTTTTTTTTGTCTCTGTATAATTTATTAGTATAATGATAACAATCCTCAGAGTGCCATGTTGAGTCTTTGCTACCATTTCTTGGGCAAGGAGAGTTACTTGGTGGTGCCCATCCCTTCCAAGATATAAAAACTAGCAGTATTTAATTAGAAGGTAACAAGGAAAAGTTCCTGATAGTAGCTCTGTGCAGGGTACCAATTAAAATTGGGTACTGTATTTTCTTGTGTATGAGAAATTTTGAATGAAAATTAAAGATAAAAAAGGTGGGATTGTATTATACACAAGTACATGTTTTCAGAAATTTTTGTTTGGTTTAAAAAAAATCTAATTTGAAACAGCAAAATTGCAAATGCACTCAATTTTGCTCACATGATAAAGTTTGTTTATTTATATTTTGATTTTGTTTTTCATAAAGTTTTCTCTTTCAATTCTTAATGAAAGACAATATTTTTTTTTATTTTCATAATTTATTAATATATAGATATATGATAGTCATATCAAACAAAAGTTTGATAGATTAATTAACATTTTAAAATGTATTATTGGGTATGTCTAGTTTTTGAGAAATGGAGTTCTGGAAACCTTGGTCTCCAGCAATGCACTTGAGTTTTTTGAAGAAAGTTTATGTGCATGGTTAAAACATATTGGTTGCATTTTATACACAACAACACTTTACCACCCACAGTCAAATGAAATTGTGGAGAGAATGGTTCAAACGATAAAAGTGGGATTAAAAGCATTCTCTCCAGTCAGTTGTGGTATAGATTTATTTACCAAGAATACTCCTAAGTAGAGCTATTCTGCATTCAGGCAGAAGACAAATCCCATCTGCATTGATGGAAAGATTAATAAGAGCTCCAATTATGTCATTTGCAATGAATGGAAGTATGTGGTACACAAAGGACAAGGGTTCAAGTCCTGAAAAGGTTAATTTTGTGATACAAAAGGGATTTAACATAGCAGTGTTAACAAAGAAGGAACAGAACATACTGGCTCGCGAAGATAAATTTAGAACCACAAGAGAGCATGAATTTAGGGAGAAGGAGGAGGAGGAGGAAGCAGAAGAAAAGACGATGCAAGAAAGGATGAATGAATCCAGTATTGAGAATGATCAGGAAGATCACCAGAGATATGAAAGTGAAAGACAGGAGAGGGAGGAGAGAATGGGTGTATCCAGTAGTAGTGAGGAACAATTTGTGGATGAGTGACTGGAGATATCATGATGATCCAAATAAGGAGATTCAGTAAAAACCTAGATCTTCTATAAAAAGAAATAGACTCACTCTGAGCAATGGATGATATCTTCCAAAGTTGTTTGTAGAAGTCTAATCAAAATATCAACTAAAGGTATAAAGCCTCTTAGGTTCAGGGAGGTGTAGTGATATGTAAATTACGTAGTGTATAAAAGGCAGTATCGCTATACCTATTGGAGAGTTATCTTCTTTTGACAAGACTACATCTGTCAGTGAGAATGCCTATCATAATATATGCATAAGAAAATATGGTAAATCAAAATTTCTAGCTATTATTGCAAATGATCATTGTTGTTTTTGTATTAATTGTTAAACATTTTCATATAAATTTTCAAGATTTCTCAGTGGATCTTTTCTTTTATTTCTTTTTTAACTTTTATTTCTTGTATTTATTTTTCCTTCCCACAGATAACAGATGCTACATTAGCAAGCTTAGCTATGAATTGCCCCCGTCTCCAGGCACTGGTGAGTTTGTGTTGTGCATTCACAAATATTTTGCCTTTTGTAATTAGCATTAACAGTGTGTGAATAGTGTAACAGTGGTGTGGAAAAGGAAACTGGCACGGCAAGTTCAAATCCCATTTTGATATTTTGCATTATATCAAGTATTAAGTATATAGTAACTGTGGTCTGCAAATTGGAGGAGAGAGTTATCAATGATAATGTTCTGACTTCGAATCCACAGTTATCTCTCTTTTAACTCTTTTTGTTTTTTTAATTTTAAAATATACTTTTTATCACCTAAAATTTGAAGCATGAGTAAATTTTCATTCCAAATGTGGCCCAGAGGGAAAAGTTTGGGAACCATTGATCTAAGATGTAGTGGTTGACTTCTCTAATTTTGTTGTACTCCATCATGATGATTGTGTTGTTGTTCTCTATGAATTCATCCCCAATAAGAATAACTTTTTTTTAAATAATAAAATAAATCTTTACATATCATTTGCTATATTTTTCTTTATTTTCTCTCTGGGCAAAAGTGATTATAACAGTAATACATTCTGTGTACAGGGTGCGTTGGGTAAATTGTCGCCATTTCATATTTTTAATTTTGCATCTGCATGTTGTTTTTGATTTTGTTGACTGCACAATATAGTTGGGTCAATTGGGCACTGTCTGTGAGGAAAAGAGCACCATGACGCTAGAAATTTGGAAATGACATGCTGTACTGTTTGGATCCAATACAAACAATTCAGTGTTTGGGTGTCAATCTGAGGGCAGTGTAGAGGATTTGGAAAGAGTTGGATGAGTTTAATGCTGATTACGAAGGTACAATAGTTAAAAAAAAACAAAAAAAACTCATTCTGATTGTTCTGATAAGAAAAGAACTCCTAAATTTGTTGGTGAGGGCCTCAGACTCAAGATGGAGGCCTATATCAAGTGCCTTGAAGAGGTAGTGCTGCCCTGGGTCAAGAAGGTGGCTACTGGAAGACCCTATGTCTAGCAACAAAACTCTGCACCATGCCACACAAGCAGGAGAACCCAATCATAGTTGTCAAACAATTTCTGTGACCGCATCATCCCTTACATTTGGACACCTAACTGCCTAGACTGCAATTCCCTTGATTATTATGTATAGGGCACAGTTGAATGAGAGACTAACAAAACTCCTTGTAATACCAAAGATGAAGTGAACATTAGGGCAGCATTCAACTTAAACAAGGAGACTGTCCAGAAGAGTGGCAGGAGATTCTAAAGTTGTCTGGAAGCAGTGGTGGAAGCCAATGGCGATATTTTTTTTTTTTTTTTTTGAATAAATTTATTCTTTAGTATTTCAAGATATTTTTGTGTAATTTTGTCAAATATATCTGTTAAAATGTGTCAGTGTTAATTTCATTTTTGCATAATTTAGACAATCTATTCATCGCATCCTGTATATACATGTTAGACTTATAGAAAATGATTTAAAATTTTGGCAATGAAGTGATTAAATTTTATTTTATGATTGCTTCTTTGAATTTTTTTTTTTTTTTTTAAAGGATTGATTTTAAAAATTTTTTTTCCCATCATACAGAGTCTCTCTCACTGTGAACTTATCACTGATGAGGGAATCCGTCATTTGGGAACCAGCACTTGTGCTCTGGAACACTTGTCTGTCCTGGAATTAGACAACTGCCCTCTCATCACCGACGCTTCATTAGAACATTTAACTGGCTGCCAGTGCTTAGAGCGAATAGAACTCTATGATTGTCAACTGATCACCAGGGCTGGTATTCGCAGATTGAAGGTAAGTATTAATATTTTGTTGTATAAGGGTTTTTTTTTTTTTTTTAAACTCCAAGCAAGGCAATAATGCCACTAAGATGCAAGAGGTTACTGGTAATGGAAGACAATAAGACTTTAGTAAGTAGAAAGGACGATAAAAGAATAGGATTCAGGAAGACAGAAGATTAATGTTGCATTTAAATGTTTGAAGATTGGAGGTGGCAGTGAGGCAAGAAATTGGAAGAGAGTTCCACAGGCAAGAAATGTGAGAAAAGAAATTATTAGAATAAAATTTATGGTTATATCTAGCTATTTCAACAGTAAAACAATGAGACCTAATTGCCAATCTAGTAGTACATTTAAATTCATGCAAAGCCTTCATTTCCATTCTCAACTGTCTGGATGTAGAGGGCAAGAAGATGCCAATCATTGTGACTGGCCATAAACCAACCAGCTGGAAGTGTGGAGAGGCTGGTCACCTCTCCTTTTCCTGCCCAGCAAAGATGGCCGCTGGAGTTTTGGCACTTGCCAACCCAACTCCCCCTTTGGCCAAGTCTGTTATTTCCATCTCTCCTGTAATGAACATGCCAGCGACCAGGACTGGTGTGATAAAACCCCAGTTGGGTCTATTTTGCAGCCCCCATTCCCCAAAAAGCCTTTACCCTCCACTTGGGTGCTTGTGGAGAAGGAAAAGTGGGAATGGCAGGTTGCTGGTAAGACCAAAGGGAATCTCCAAACATTAGGACATATGTCCTCAGAAGCCCCCACAGGTAAAGCAAGAGCATCCCCATTTCCTCTACTGGTTCCAAGAGTAATGCTCCAGCCACCTATGTCGAACAGTTTGACAACAATGACTCAAATACAAGTAGAGTCTTGAGAAATTTGGAAAGCTCAAGCAACTGAAGTAATCCATAAAAGTGAAAAGATCACAAGAAACCTCAGTGTAAAATATTGGTGCTTCTTCCTCGTCACTGTCTTCCCCATCACTCAAAAAGCAGATCATAGCTCCACCCCTCATGAGTAAATCATTAACTCCCACCTAAAAGAACCACTCTCATGAGTTCCCACTACAAAATGCTCCCACTCTCCCCGAGTGGCAACCTGTGATGTCTGGGGTCAAAGTCCTGGTGACTGAGTGACTTCTGATCTGGTATAAAATGACCAGGAGTTTCCACAACATGTCACTTCTGTTCCTACATTGGATAGGCGGGCAGATGGAATAGCCCAATCCATCCCAAATGGTTAGTCACATAGTGGCAAAGGCTAGTTGGGATGAAAGATAATGGCTTCGACATGGCTGCGAATCCTTACACCATACTATACTTGGGTAGATATGGTGGGAGAATGTGGGTGCTCATATTCACTTTCATCATAATTATACTGTCTGTGTAGCCCTGGCAGATCAGGACAAATGAGATTAGTCTCCTTGATAGCATCCCTTAAGAAGGTACTCTGAGGTGGGCGGGACCACAGATGGCAAATGCAAAAATATATGGCTAACTCTTATAAACAAACCAAGAAACAATAAAAGAAAGTGAAAACAAAATATAAAAAAAAAAAAACAATTTCCAACTTTCATAGTTATCGAATCATTAGATGGCCAAATAAAAGTCTCACCTTTTGTATTGCAAAAAGCCATGATAGAACCAAAATCTCTAAAGAAAAAACAAAAAAAACACACACTTCTAATTCGAGTAAAAAAACAAGAAAGACGCAGAAAATTTACTAAAAATCAAGCAAATAAAACAGCAAGAAAGTAAAAACTCAACCTCACCAATTCCTTAATTCATCTGAGATAGAGAAAATAAAATGCCCAGAACTGTCACTCTGCTCACCAGAAGAAATTAAAAATGACACCCTAAAAAAAGCAAGGAGTAACAATCGTCAAAAGAATTCAAATAAAAAATGACACATCAATAAACACAAATGCATACATTTTAACATTCAACAAACCTACTCTACCAAAAGAAATAAAGATAGGATACACAATAGCCAAGGTAGAGCCATACATCTAATCCTCTTAGATGTCACAAATATCAGAAATTTGGTCATCTACAAAATCATTGTACTAGAGCATTAGCCTGTTGAAGATGTAGGGAATTTGAGACTGATTATAAAGAGTCACTCTGTGAAAGGCCTTCTTTATGCCCAAACTGTAAAAAAAAAAAGAAAAATCACTCAGCAGACTCTAAAGAGTGTAACATCTGGAAAAAGGAAAAGAAAATAAGAATAAAATAGACACAAAACATCTTGTTCCAAGAAGCCAGAAAACAGGTTGAAACTAATTCACCTCCAACATCCTATGCAAATATTGCTAAAACATCAAATCACCAAAATGACATCTAAGAGGACAATGCAATAAGAAGCCAAGATCTTACAACTCTAATAAAAGAATTAAAAAGTCTATCTACTAAAGTGTAGTATATCAAACATAAACCAAACTACCATAGTCAAAACAAATCTTATCTAGTCAACTGGCTCTGGGTGCCTTCAAAACATCACCCACAGAAAGTTAATATGCTGAAGTCCATGACGCACCATTAAAATTGAAACTTGAAAAACTGGCATTACAATATTATCTAAAACTCTAATCCTACCCAACTAACCCTGCCTACCACCGTCCTTCAACCCTAAATACAAATTTCTGTTTGATAAAAAAGAAAATGCTATCAAACCTTTTTGGCCTTTACATGAAAAATCTCATTAGCAAAACATGAATAAATCCAACTCTAATTCATAAAACCATCAACTCAAAAAACCCAACCTGGTTAATGAAATACCCTACGATTTTGCTAAACCTTACTAAACACCCTAAAATTGATTCTAATTTATCCGATTACCTGGAATCCATAATGTTCTACAAGCTCACCTAAATCATAAGCATATATTCACTGATGGCTCTAAAATGTTTGATAATTGGATGCTCTGCTATCCTTAACAACATAACAATGCAGAAAAGATTGCCTGACAAAGTCTCAATCTTCAGTGCAGAGGGCTCACACGCTTGGCTTTAGATATTATAGAATCCAGTTTCATCATCTTTTCAGATTCACTATCTGTACTCACAGCTCTGAAGAATAAAAACATGGAAAACCCCTTAAATTATTAAATAGGATTGACACTATTTATAAGAAAAAAGATGCTGTAATAGTCTGATACTGGATACTGAGCCATATTGGCATACAAGGAAATGGAAAAGCTGACAAAATGGCAAAGGAATCACTGAACATGGCCCTCTCTAATGTAAAAGTCCACACCAACTTCTGACCCAGCATAAACAGGACCATTAAAGAAAATGGCAGCAATTATGGAACATCTATGTAAACAAACTTTTTCAACATCCAACCAATCATCAATGAAAGACTATCAAGTTACAGAAAAATAAGGAGAGAGGAAGTGGTTCTATCCAGACTCCATATATATGGACACACATACATAATCTGCCAAAATCTAGTAAAAAAAAAAATAAGGAACCACCAATGTGTTCCATGCCAGGAACCATATACTGTCAAAGACATTCTACTAAATTGCTGTAACTTCTAACAAACCTGAATCAAACTCTACAAATCAAATAACTTAAAGGATCTATTTGAAGATACCATTCCAAGTAACATCATCGATTTCATTGAAATTGGATTCTAAAAGGAAAATATAATTAAAAAAACAAAACAAAAGAAACTTTACCTACATTGTTTTGTAACTCCAGCAATACATTTGACTCTCAACAAAATCAATGAAACCTGATCTACAAAATGATTCCTTACAAAGAATACATACTCTATTCATACAGCCCTATCAGAAAAATCTTGTCAGTGTTAAATAACCTTTCTAGGTTGATATGACGTTAAATTAAATACACTAAACCAAACTTCTTTAGGTTAATTTCCCTCCCCTTCCCTGTTAGGTGACAGATGTCAGTTCTGACAGATGTGGGGCATTTTTTTTTCCAGTTTATATTTCATATTTGTTTTTGTGTTTGAGTGTGTGATTGTTCTTAATTACCTAGTCTTGTATTAATTTTGTCTAGTTAACTGATTTTTCTGCCACATTTAATTTTTTTTTTTTTTGTTTTATTTTTAAATGTTATTTTTATTCCCCACTCCCTACAGACAAATTGTACATATGGGGACTATTTAGGACTTCATAGAGACTCTGAGGTATTATGGTGTCTATAGTAAGAATTGTAAATAAGAATGTTGTTTTGGTGGTATGTTTGGGTCAGTAATCATGGCTAGCTAAGTTTAAGACAAGACAGACTGATGACCAGTCTTCCCCTACCTCCGCCTTTTGGTCTTATGCCGCATTTTTGTATTATAAGAAAATAAATATTGCTTTCCTTTTTGGTACCTAGACTTTATGAATTTAAGCATATTACTAGATTGGCAGCAAGATGTTATCTTACAGTTGAAATGACTAAATGTAGCTGTAAGTCTTATGCTGATAGTTTCTTCTGGAACTCTCTTTCAGCTTCTTGCTTTCCAGTCAACTTTGACCTTTAAAAAATGTAAATGGTCTGTCTTCTTACTTCCTGTTCTTTTATTGTTCTCTCTCCTTAATAATGTTCTCCTTTTCTCATATTCTCTCATATTCCTATGTCTTAGTGACTTTATTACCTTGTTTGAGGTAAAATGATTAAAAAAAAAAAATTGGTTTTCTGAAAGAGGAAATTACAAAAAATGACTCATCATGCACTAAAAGTAACATTTATTGTGGAAGAGAAATTTATTTTAAAAGTTCTGGCAGGTGAAAAATAAGTAATGAATTGAGTAAACAAAATCAGATTTGAAACTGAAGTTTTTCTTTCTTAAAAAGGGGACATTTTTTTTTTTTTTTTTTATCCTCTTTTCTTTGCAAGTATTTTGTTCTAATGGTCCATTGTTTTGCTTTTCAGAGTCACTTGCCGGCCATTAAAGTTCATGCCTATTTTGCTCCTGTGACCCCACCCCCATCTGTCGGGGGTGGCCGACAAAGATACTGCCGCTGTTGTGTGATTCTCTGACAGTTACCTGTAATGGCCCCTGACCAACGACAAACTGTGATGAAATCTCAACACCTGTGTATAAATCTTTATATGCATATGTTATTTGTAAACCCATAAAAAGACAAAAAAGGGAAAAAAAAAAGAATCATAAACAAAAATACACACATTTTTAAGAATATGGGTGGATCTACCCACATTTTCTGATTTGAGCATTGCTGCTGCTGTTACTACCATGGTAATCTTCATAGACCCAACAGCAACCACCACCTTTAGGTCGCTGAGGCACACCTACTTGATTACTTGTAATCAAATAGATCAGTTGATGTCTTGAATATAAATGCCTGTAAGTTTCCAGCTCAGATGTGCAATTGCACATCTAAAGATAGTTACATCCATTTCTATCGCTTGTAGCAATGAAATATGGGAGCAGAGAAATCATGTGTGCATTTAAGTCAGAAAAGTAGGATTTTTTTTTTTTGTCTTGGAGAAATAGTGTCTATAAATGTACCCACCTCTTGTGCCTGTCTTTGTTGTTTGATAGGATATTTTTTTTTTCTTTTTAGTCATGTGATGGATATTCAAATGCGTTTTTCCTTTGCGTTTTTTATTTGGTCTGCAGAAAAAAAATCTGTCAGCCAATATCCTAATTTTTGAAATTTGTCTAAATATTAGAGGAAAAGTGCAACGTCTGTATAAGTTTTGAAAAGGTAAAAAAAAAAAAAAATCCCTTCCCCAACCAAAAAAAAAGAAAAAAAAATTCGCAGGGGGAGAGAACCTCAGTTTTGTTTTAATGACAAGTTTAGAGTTCTTTCCCTTGTTTTTTTTTTTTTTTTTTTTTTTTTAGTCTAAACTTTTATTTGTGAATGCATTCCATAATTTGTAAACATAGAAAGCCCCTTTTTGTGTAAAAGGAGCTGTTTTCAGTTCTTGGGATCATCTTAGGTTTTTGTTGGATCAAGTATTTCTACTTTTATTCTGTCTCCACAATATATTGTCATATAGATATATGGAAGTGTTTTTTTTTTTCTTTATCTCTCTCTCTCTCACCCCTTCTCCAACTTCCCCTTTCCTCAATTTTCTCTCTATGTACACTGTGTGTACACTTTTGATGATAAATATACTCTTTTCCATTTGGGTACATATTTGTTGTATTTATATTGCTTGGGGGTGGGGGAAAGAAAAGATGCAATTTTGTAACATTGCATTTTTTTTCTTGAACATAACACAATGTAGAAATAGAAATATTCTGACAAATGTTAATATTTTTATTTTTTAATTCTCTGCAAATCCTTCCTGCACATTTAGTCAACAATTAAAGCTTCGCAATCATTCACCATTCTACATTATCATCTTTGACTTTTAATCCCCCCCCTTTTTTTTCCAATCTTTTTTTGTTGGATTAGAAAAACAAAATGGAAACCATATATCTATCTATTAATGGTCAATGGGACCATGACATTTCTCTTTCATTTTATTACACATGGAATTAATTTAAATAAAAGATTTTTTTTTTTTTTTTTTTTTTTTTTTTATAATTTTAAATGGATATATTTTCCTAGAGTCCTCATTCATTTTTTTTTTTCTCCATTATCATAGAATTGTGAAACAATTCTTTTCACATTAATTTGCATGCTTTCTTATCTCTGCTCTTATGTCATTAAATTCTTTTAAAGTGACTTTCATGATATCGTTTCATTCAAGAGAATGTTTCTTAATGCAGTCAATATTTTGACCGTGTCGTCGATAAAACTCAGATCTTTGCTGTTTTGCATTATTTTCTTTTTTTTTTTTTTTATTTTGTCTGAGTCACTACAAATGTTTTCCTACGTCTATGAAGGTAGGATATTTCATTGGGATAGGTTTGGATTGTTGCCTTATGAAATACATGGAGCTGTTACAGTTTTCCTTCACTGCATTAAAATGCATTAAACAATATTCTGGCACAAAGCTGCAAGTGTAGGCTACCAAGTGAGGATCGAACGTCCTGTCACTACAATTGTGTGTATATGAAACTCCAGAAGCTGATGACTGTGTAAACCTCTGACATTTATTTATTGTTTAATAAAAGTATTCAAAGAATTCTGAAGTTTCAACTTTTGAAGTCAGCAAAATGTTTATTCTCCTTGTTTATTTTTATTGAAAAAATTGTTACAATAATTTTGAAGAATTACTTCAATATATATAATAAAAAAAACAAAAAATCTAGTTGCTGTTAATCACAATTTTTCAGTTAGTCATTTCATACAGATGTTTGGGATTATTTTCTATTAGATATTTTTCTTTATGCTGTTGGTTGGATTAGTTCAATATCACTAAAAATTATCCAGATTAGTGTTTTACTGTTAATAACCTAAACATTTTGATTGACTGTTTCTCTACTTTTAAGTAGAACTGACCATTTTGTTTTGAGCACTGGAATTAGTCTGTGCAGACGTCTTTGGTTAAATTCTTTGATTATTTTGTTTCTTTTTAATGTTTTTTTTTTTTTGTGTGTTGAAAGATAATACAAAAAAGCATGTTTTCAAGATTTGATAATTGGGCCAAAATATTTTAGTTAAGTGAATGAAAGGATCTACTTCTGAAGACAGTTGTTTCATTTCAATGTTTTGTTTATAAGAATTGTTTCTGATATTAAAAGTCAATAATATCTGATTTTTTGAGCAAGTTGTTGTGTTTTTTTTGTTTTTTTTTTTTAAAGAGAGAGAGAGAAGATCTCAGATTATGTTCTTTCAATATTTTTTATATATTCAACTTTGTTTACTATATTAGATTCCCTCTGTTAATTATTTATGGCCTCAAACAAATATAGCAGGTATGTAGTTTTATTCCATATTATTTTTTATCAAGGGTAATGATTCTTTTATTTCTAGTATTTAAAACATGATCCTTCCACAAATATTCTTTTTACTTCAGCAGAGAAAACATTCATTTAAGTGAAAACTTGATAATTTTTCCTGTCTTGCAAGTGGGTATCATTTGTAGTTGCCCTTGATCAGACCTTCCCCACTTTCACAAAAGGAAAGAGTGAACATGGTGAAACTCATATTTTTTTTTTTTTTTGCTAGGAGTTATCTTCTCTTGGTTTTAAGAATTACTTTTGATACTGCTTACCCTAGGCTTCCCAAATCTTAGACAATTTTCCTGCAATTGGCTTTATCGGAAGCTATCATTGTCACAATTCTAAATTCTCTGTTAATGTTTCACTGAATGTGTAATCTGTTAATTTACTTTTTATTTTTTTCTCCTCTAAAGTAATTTGTTTCTAAATATTTAAGTTGGATTTCTAACTGCTTTCATATTGAAAAGGGCTTGTTGATTTTTCATTTTCATGATGCTGAAGGTGCTATAGTTTCTCGATTTAGAGAAAGTTATTTTGGAACTTTTTTTTCTTTTTTTTTTTTTTTACTTTGAATTTGTTCAATTTTCCTTTTATTTTCTCTCTAACTAATCTGTCATTTAATGGACATATTTTGAAATCTTCAGAATCTAGTTTTTAATGGTCTTTATAAATAAGTTAATTTTGTAACTGTTGCTGCCTTTGAAATACCTGATTCATTCCCAAATCTGCTTTATATATATATATATATATATATATATATATATATATATATATATATATGTGTGTGTGTGTGTCATAATCTTCCAATTTTTAACTTGTCATATTTTATTTTATTTTTGTCATGGTTAGGTAAATTTTTCCCTCTGGAGCAATACAGTTGAGATGTTTGTCACCTTTTGGATGGAAATATTGAACTTATTTTAATATTAAATACAAATATCTTCATACATAAATATAAGGTGTTATGAAAAAGTGATGAGATCAGAGGTTTCTTGGACATGTATAAAGCAATTAAGCTCTTTTTTTTCTCTTTAATTCAACATTATTTCTTATTACTATAAACACTGTATTTAGTTGGGTACATGTTAAAAGGAAAAGGGTATGTCTACTGAAACCCATGTAGCCACTTAATATGCTTACCGTAATACATATGTATACATATACACATAGCATCATAGCAATCTTCATAAGCCCCACTAATAATTATTGCTTCATCTTTCACAGAAATTAACAAATGATAAAATATTTTTTCATCCAGATTGAATCCAAAATAATGAATCATCTTTTGTTTGCCTTTTTATATTTTTTTAATTTATTCTTTAGACAAGATTAAAAAAAAAATGACAACCTTAACCTTTTCTGTTTAGTTTCCTCATAAATGATAACTTCTTTTACCTTTTTTGTCTTCCATAAATTAACAACTTTTCATTTGAGGCAACCATAGAAACATTCACAGAATACGTTTTCTATTGGCAACTTCTTTCCTCTTCTTTTATGTACCATATCCCTTCAGGACATCGACGATCATGGCCATCCACTTTTTCTAATCTCTTGTAGCTCTAAATAAGTTGTCTTTTTGTTATTTTTTCCAAACCCCATTCTGCCATCCATTTGCTCAAGCCCATCAAATATGTTATGTGCTGCTTTCCTCTGTCCTGTGTGTATCAGATTCCCTAAGCCCTCTTTTATTACATGTCCCAGAAATTTCAATAACCTCTTCCTGATGTTAAGTTTGAGTTTTCTTTTTGTTTCCATTCTCTCCAAATCCTTGCATCCTTCTGTAGAAACACATTTCTATTGCTTTAAGTCTCTTCCTCATTTTTGAAGAGATTGTTCAGCATTTGTTGCCATACAGGAGGACAGATATTACGTAACAGTTCAATATGCTTTTCTTTGTTTTCAGTTGATATTAAGAAACTGTAAAATGTGACATTCATTCATCTCCCATCAACTGAATTTCTTGGAGACTAAGTTTGGCAACTTTTTGTTTCTTTAGTTTAGCCCAGGCCTACAGTAGCTGGGCTCTCAGTATGAATCATTCTTTTAGTGAGGTGTGCTTGCTTTGTAGTTATTCACTTGAATCTGTGTGAAATATTGGTTTAAGTTCTTCTCAGTCACATAGATCTAATAATTATCTGAAGAGCTAAGAATGTTGTTGAGCCAAGAGAAAAAGCTTTGT